ATGGCCAGCTCTGGAACATTTGAATTTGCTTTTCAAAGTCACTCAAATAGTTCATCCCTTTTTCTACTGTCTGTTGGACCTTATTCAAAGGCTTTTTTTTTTTTAAAAAAATGTATGTATGTATGTATGTATGTATGTATGTATGTATGTGAATGAAAGCAGTCTATCATGTCTTAGGTAATCATTCTTTCTTGACATTCTCTGTATCCTGAGAGCATTGCTGGTCATGAATCTTTTAGAAGCCCAGGGTGCTCTATTGTGCAGAACACAATGTTGCTGTGCTTATTAAAACAGGATCTCAATTATGTAGTCCAGGCTAGCCCCAAACTTATTATCTTTCTGCAGCCATCTCCCAAGTCCCAGGCATCTAATAGACATCTGCCACCACTTTACACTTTTCTGTCTCTCCCCTTTTTAGGAGGTGGAGAGTGGGGACAGTGGTTATGTAATTCTGATTGTTCCAGAACTTGTTCCGTAGACCACGCTATCCTGGAATTCAGAGATTCTTCTGACTGCTTCCCGAGTGCTGGGAAGCATGTGCTACCATATGCAGCCTTGTCCTAATTTTAAAAATTCCATTTGTGTGTATTTACACAGGTTTGGCTGCCAAGTTTTGTTGTTTTCCTTTTTAAAGATAGGGTCTGTCTATCTCTGGCTGTCCTGGAACTCACTATATAGATCAGGCTAACCTCAAACTTGGTGGGTTTTTTTTTTTTTTTTTGAGACAAGGTCTCTGTGCAGCCCTGTCCTGGAACTTTCTTCAAAAACCAGGATGGCCTCAAACTCAGAGAGAGAGAGAGATCTGCCTGCCTCTGCCTCCCCAGTACTGGGATTAAAGGAGCCCTATCATGTATCATGTCTTGCTGGCCTCAAACTTGTGATATAGCCAAGGATGGGTAGCAACTCCTGATTCAAAGGCTAGCTGGTCCAGCCCAAACCGTAGCCTGGACCCAGGAGTCTTTGGATACCAGTGAAGATCCCATGCCAGCTGCCATTGAAGTCCCAGGGACTAGGCAGAGATGGACCCTGCTATAGGACCTGTGGGGAATCTTTTAGCAGTGCAGCTCTTGGGTGCCACCTGGTGGTAATGTGGGAAACTGGGGGCTCTCCTTGCAACACTGAATAGCCAGCCTGCAGGCTGGGGGCTCTCCTACTTTTGTATTTGATATTGAGGATTGTTTTGTTGTCACACAGTCCCAGCCCCAGCCCTATGGAGACAGGGTTTCCCTCTGGAGCACAGGTCAGGTCTTCAGGGTTCAGACTCTGCCCATCAAAGGGCCTGTGAGCTCACCTTTCCTTCCCCCTGCTGGGTCCCTGACAGTGACATTAAGGTTTGAATTTCTTAGCAAGGTAGCACCACAGAGAAGACACTGGAAACCCTTCAGTGGTCTCCCCTCCAGGCCTCTGCTGTGGGGGTGCCTGGAGCCTTCAAGCCTGAATGTGCACCCATCTTGGACATTTCTGCCTGCTCCACCTCTCCAGTCCTCTCTCCTTGGGATTCCTACATATACTGTTCCCTCTCTGGGAACATTGTTCCAGCTGGTCATCTCCAGGAGGCCAAGCAGCAGCTGTATATGAGCCACTGACAATGTCCCCAAGTACACAAGAAGCATTTGGAAGTGAATGACAGAAAGTGGGAACCAGAGGGGAGCACTTAGGCCTGAGTTTCCCTTCTTCGGGGGAGGGGCTCCCTGCCTGCTCTTTCTGGTGAACCAAGGACAAGACATTGGAGACACTGTGAAAGCCACTCTACTGGTTTTATTCCAGACGACTCTAAATGCTCACTTGTGCCTGGGGAAATGACCAGTGCCTCCTAGGAGTCTGCCATAAAGCTCTCTCATTTTGCTGGCGCCTAATGGTTTCTTAGTCCCCATGAAGTGGGTGTGATGGGTCTTGGAGAGATAAGACACTTTTGGTGGCCTTAGCACTTATGGGTGCAATGCCCCAGGGGTTAGAGACAAGGGCTTTGTTTTCAAGATTGCTAACATGACATTATAGATGAGAGCTGTACCAGAACCCAGCCCGTAAACACCTGCTTGAACAAGGAGACAGGAGTTACACGCAGGAGTCATTGTTCCTTGGACAAGATGGGCTACACAGTTGAAGCTGGCCTGGAACCCAGTTCTCCTGCCTTAACTTCCCAAATGATAGTGTCATAGGGGTGACAGCTGCTTCATGATAACTTAACAAAGGCCTCAGAGGTCAGAGCCTTGCTAGAGCATCAGAGAAGGTTCCTCCCATTGTTGTCAGGAGAGACCCACAGCTGGACAATGCAGAAAGAGGGACTTCAGAGCGCTCAGTCACAAATGGGATCTCTCCATCACACACCAGGGCTTGGGGCACTATGAGAAAGAGGTGGGAAAATCTCCAAGGAACAGTGTCTTCCAGATGCAACAGTTCTGACACACGTATGAACTCAGCAAAACTAGCAGCATGCACAGGTTCAAGCACTGCTCTTTTCACTGCTGACCCAGGGAAAAGAGCTGGCACTCCAACCACTATCCAGGAAACTATCTGTAGTTGACACCCACGGGCGAAGGAAAAATCAGTTTTCTCCAATGAAGTGCCCTGGGTTAATTACGCATACTTCAGGCCAGGCCCCGTGCCCACTAGTTGGCCAACACAAAGTGAACTCAATGGTATTTTTGTACACATTTTTGGGAGCTGTTTTTATCTTATTGTTTTACTTTTATAATTTTGTTTCCACCTTTGTGGTTTTTTCAGTGTCTCTGTGTGTTATTGAAGGGTATGGGAGGATCTGAGAAGATGGGAAAAACATATATGAAAGACTGTCTCAGCTGGGTAGTAATCCCAGCACTTGGGAGGCAGAGGGAAGCAGATTTCTTGAGTTCCAGGCCAGCCTGGTCTACAGAGTGAGTTCCAGGAGAGTCAAGGATATACAGAGAAATTCTGCCTTGGAAAATAAAAACAAATGAATAACTCTGTTTTTATAAGAAAAGAAAAAAGCAACCTTAGGATGGGAGCATGGTCTGGTGTCTGGAAAGGGGCAGGCACGAGAGAACTGAGACCAGGATCAAGGGGGATACAGGTCATAAAAGTTCCATAAAGAACCATGGACAGTGTGTATAGCAGGTGCAGGTTCCTTAATGCTTGTCCCTCCAGGGGTCTCAGCATGTTTGAAGAAAAGCAGCATGTCTGAAGAGAAGCACCTAATGATGCCTGGGAGGTGACAACCCTGATAATCAGTGTTAGGTAATTCTGGTGTCCCTGAAGAATGTGGCCACATCTGTCTGGGCTACCAGGATAGCATTTTCATGTGTCACCAGCCATAGGGACTGCTAGTATGACTGACCTGACCACTGGCATCAGATTTCTTTTTCTTGTCCTGGAACTTGCTAGGTTGTTCAGGATGTCATTGATTTCAGGCCTACGCCACCACACCTGGTAATCAGATGTCTTAAAGTGGATTGTACAAGGTCACGCAGGCAAAATGCCCACTCTGTATCCTAATTCTTGCACCTGACAAGATGCAGGCCACAGGGACGGACAATAGACAGGGTTTGGAACCTGGATACAGGAAGCAGTCACAGGTCAGCCCAGCACTTCTGGACCTCAACATTTATTGCTGTGTTCTAGGCAGTATACCCCTTTTCTTCAGTATAAAAAGCCTCCAACAAGCAGGACAGGAAAAGTGGTACACACTGGGAGGACAGAATTGTGAGTCTGAGGACAGCCAGCCCACAGAGGGTAGTCCCCTTAAAACACTACCCCACCTTAAAAGTTTACCATCTTAAGCTTTTTCAGGACACTGCTTGAGGGCAGAAAGCTCATTTTCAAGGTTGGGTGGCCACACCTATCACCCATCTCCTGAAGATTCCATCTCAGTACAACAAAGCATCATGCACTTTTCATGCTAATTATATCCTGTCCCAACTCCAGCACCAACAATGCCATTTCCTTTTGGGGGCAGAGGACTGTGGGGATGTTCTAGCAGTGGACCCAGTAGTGTTTGTCCAGTGTCTGGCTTATGCCACTGAGCACTGTGTCCTTGAAGTACAACGACCTGTCTGGTTTTGAGGCAGGGTCTTCCTGCATAGCTCAGGCTGGCCTGAACTGGTCCTGTTTCAGCCTTGGTGCTGGGATGAAACATGAACGGCTAACGCCGGCTAGTGCTGGAACTACTGACATTCTCAGTAGCCCTCGGTCCTACCTGTACATCCTACCTGCTGAGGTGAGGCTAGCCTTGCCATTCTGACAGATCAAATAAAGCCATGGAGATAGACCTTGTCAGGCCAAGGCCTGGTGTAGGGATGCAGAGTACCCACATTGACCAGGGCCCAAGTGAAAGGGGGCACACTCCACTGAAGTGCTGATGGCAAGGTGGGCTCTGGCAGACTGAGGCAGAGGCAGGCTTGGTGCCACTCAGCACTAGGGGATAGACACCAAGAGGACAGATGGTATCCTCAGAGATAGCCCAGGGCAGGCTTGGGAACCAAACTTGTAGCTCAAAAGACCCAGTGACTTGACAGTCAGCTAGTGGTAGGGTCAAGTACAAAAAAAAAAAAAGCCCATTAGACCATCAGTCACCATGCAAGGACCTCTCACCATGTAAGACATCCCCAGTGACATAGCCACAGTGATTTGGAAGCTCTCACTCCTGAGCCTTTGAGGGGAGTTCCTCAGAGGGGAGGAACAAATCCAGAGGTGGGTCATCCTGCTGGCAGAGGCTGGCCAACACTGCTCAAGAGGGCACCTAGTGCTTGCTACTGTCAGGCTGTGGCCTTTCAAGAAGGCTGCTAGGAAAAGCCAGCTCAGGTTTCTGCGATGGTCCTGGAGGTTTAAAGGCAGCTGATGGCTCTGCAGCTATCCCTGACACCACAGCCTCTGAGCTTTGATTCCAGCTCCACCATGTCTGAGATGTGGGGCAGAAGACCTGAACCCTGGGCATGGGCCAAGTGCAGGCCAGAGTTGCAGCCACAAGAGTGGGGCAGGGTGGAATGGGCCAGAGGGGCGCAGAATGCCTGGCAACAGAAACCTTGTCTTACAAACGGCAGAACAGGACTGTGTTTATTAAAAACACCAGGAAAGTGAGTTCACATCGACACTTGGCAGAACCTGTGACTGCTGGCGGTGCCACAAGTGGGAGGTGGCTGGGGCTGCAGTCTCTGCCTACTTGCAGCAGCAGGGTTTGGTCCAGAGCAGGGTTCAGTAGCGGCGGATGAAGTGGGGGTGAGGATGGGGGTTGGGGACTCGGCCACCCTGGTCCTGGCTGGGCACGCCACCACCTTCCAGTCTACCACTGGGCACAATATGGCCCTGGGAATGTCCACCATGTGCAAAGGCTTGCCTAGAACAAAGGCAGATAGTTTGCAAGGGCCATGCCTGGTGACCACAAGGTGCCACCTCACAGAGCACAGGGCTCTGTACAGTTCCCTCAGAATGCCAGCCCAACCAGGGTGCACACATGTAGAGGGAGGGAAGGAGGAAGGCAGTGGCAGACATTGAAACCTTACCCAGCCATGCCACCCCGGCCTGCTGCCACATGCCCATGCCCAGGTCCTGCAAGGCCCCGCTCAGCACCTGCAGGGGAGAGACAGCTCTGTGGACTCTGCCTGCACAGTAGACCTGGTATTCACCCATTCCTTGCAACCCCTTGGTACCTCGCCACCGTATGTGCTCATGGCCCGTCATGTTTGTGTCCACAGCGCTGTGCCAGACAGGAACCTGCTGCTCCTCCAACTGCGAGGTGTGCTCTGCCCACTCTCGGCTGACCCTTTGCCAAATACAAGGTGACAAATGGATGCCCCCATGCACTTTCCACCACACCAAAGATGTGAGCCCAACTCCAGGATATCTTCAAAATCAGACTGTGACCAGGGGTGGGCAATGAGGACACCAGGCACCACCAGTGAAGAAAAATCACCCCCCAAGGCAGCCACACAGAGGTGCCACAAGAAGCCACAGTGGTCTACACTTGGGCCTACCCACTACTGGAAACCTTGCTGACACAAACACATGAGCATGTGCTGGCAACATGACCCACAGCTGAAAGGGAGCACAGAACACCTTGCCTTACAGCCTGATGGGTAGAAAATGGGCATGTCCACAGTATGAGATTCAATAGTAGACAGGAGTGCTACCTCCTAACACACCACAGCATGGAGGGGTCTCAAGAACACAGTCTCACTGAGATTAAGTGTATGGGTGTCGAAGAGTCCTGAGTGTGTCTGAGTGAGCACATGTCATGGTGTGTGCTTGCAAAGCCATGGTGGTGGAATCGTGATGCAAGACCTGGGTGGGTAAGAAGCAGGCTGCTGATGGTATGTGCTTTCCAAAATGAAAGCAGTATAATCCCGGCTGGTATTAGGGACTGACAGCAGGCAGTGTGTAGCATGGAAGCAGGAAAGTGCTTGGGAGGCTAAGGCAGGAGGACTGTGTGGAAGCCAGCCTGTGCTCCACCTCGAACCACCTAACCACGAGTGCTCCTACTGCACTGGAGATTCCCACCCTGTTGCCACCCAAGGAACAGGGACAAGGTTCACACCTGGCATCATGGTCCCCATGGTGCAGCCAGGGATACCAGGCAGAGGACATCCCAGGTACTTTCATGGGTTCCCTCCAAGAGCACCCCAGAAGCCCATATCAGGCTCCTCCTATATAGAATACTTACCTGGGAGGAGGGGGCAGCCCTTGGCCTTCATTCAACTTCTCGTCAGAGCTGTAGCCATGCCAGCTGTCTCGGGCATCCCAACCATGGTGCTCCAGGAGCCTTCCATGGCTGTGCTCGTCATTTGGGTAATACTGCAAGGCACACAAGAGACAGAGCATGTGTTCTGGTCTCCCCCCACCCTCCACCCCCAGCCTGGATTCTGTATTCTATCATGCCTCTGCTCACACTGAGCCCATGTCCCCTGGAAGTGCTGTAAGACTAGATGGCAAGCATCCCTAAGAGGCAGTTATACCGGGGCTGGTATGAGCTGAACATGGTACCTCAGCCTGTGCACACATCACCAGGGCTCTCTTGCTAATTCAAGATCAGTCTTCCTGACAGGTGATGACAAAACATGCTCTGGAGGCACCCAGGGGATGAGCCACTTCTAAACCTCTGTCTTGACCCAAGCCCATCCCGAAGGATCCCACCTCCTCCTTGGAGACTTGGGTTAGTGTATTGTCAGGACCCTAGCACCAGCACAGAGCTAAAGCAGATGAGGCAGAGCCTGGAGCCAACTCCCCATAGGGCTGCAAAGCTGCCACTGCAATGTAGGTCCCCAGAGCAAAGACACCAAGTTCCCAACCAAGTATCAGTTGAGCTGAATCTTTATTAGGTGACTGAGAATAGAGCGGCACCCCTCCCTCACCCTACAGTAGGGTTACAGGTGACTACTCTCTCTCACTTACCTGCTCATCCCGCTCCTCCACTCTGGGTCTGGACCCATCCCTCCTGCAAAGGAGAAAGGATATTGGTATGGCGGTGTGCAAGTCTCCCTTGGGGACAAGATTGGCTTTTCCCCAAGCTCTGGCTATATGCTAGGACATAGTAGCACCAGGGATGACAATGGTAAGTGGAAGGCTTTCTTCTAGAGGTGGGAGCCAGGACAGAAAAGGCAGCAAGTCTCCATCAAGCAAGAGACTGAGAGAGACTGTCCAGGAGAGCTGCCCCAGGAAGGCTTTGCCACACATCGCCACCAATGCACAGGGTTTTAGGATACTTTGGAATACAGTCTGGAGAGTCTGAGGGAGTCCCCAGAAAATAAAGGGACTACAGTTGCGGAGGGGAGCAGGTCCAGTCAACGAGTTGAAAGTCAGTGACCGCTCGCCCCTTACAACCTGCTTCCTCCTGTAGAATATGAAGGCCAGGCTGTCCTGCCCAACCTAGGGTCCACTGGGAGGCATGAGAGGGCAGTGGAGCTACCATGTGGGCAGTGAGGGTTAGGCACAGGGTGCCTACTGTGGGTCCACCTGCTGTTAGACCTGGTATTCCCCAGTGCCGCCTGCGGCTATCCTGTGGTGGTCCCCAGGAGGCAATGAGCTCTTCATAGAGAGCATAGGGACTCTTCTGCCATGCACGGGATAGTGCCTGGGGAGCTGGCGCAGAGGAAGATGCACACCTGTCTATGACATGCTCCTGGTAATGTCCACGTTCCCGGTGGTCGAAGTCATGAAAACGGTGATCTGGCTGTGGAAAGTCTCGGTATCTGTCCTCTATGGCTGCACGCTTCCCTTCTGGCCAGTAGCCATCGTCTCTCCTGGTGTGCATTTTGCAAAAATACTTAATTCAAGGTGGCAGCAGCATCCCACAGTTGTCAAGGGTACCTCAGGATGGAGGCAGGCTGTTAGGAGCTGACTGTCAGCAAGAACACTTGCATGAACACAATACTGGAACCCCAAGCCTCTCCCTGTTGGCCTCTCCCCTGGGATTGTGTAAAAGGGATGGGAATTACAAGGTTCCTCAGTGTGCCTGCAGTGACTGTCCAAGTGGCTAAGAGCCAGCAGAGTCTTGCCCTCTTCCATGGCCTTTCACAGCCCACAAGCACAAGATACCAAGCAGAGTAGCTGGACAACACAAAGTGCTGGCCAAGGCACAGCACCACATGCCCGTTCACTGGGGAGAGGGGGCAGGACTGGTATTGGCACCCACCTAGCATCCAGGTCATAGGGTCTTCGCAGTGCCCGCCGTTCCTGCTCAGCTCGTAGCTGCTCTTGCTGCCGCCGCAGCTCCTCCCGCTCACGCATAATGCGCTGCTGTTCCTTTCGCCTTTCACGTTCCACGCGCATGCGCTCTCGCTCCAGCCGCTCTCGCTCCAGCCGCTCCCTCTCCAGCCGCTGCCGCTGGCACTGGAGCTGCAGCCGTTCTCGTTGCAAGCGAGCCTTCTCCCGCCGCTCCTGGAAGGCATCCAGACGCTGCTCCCGCTCTCGCTGCTCCCGCTCCCTGCACACAGGTGGTTGCCTCAGTTTGTGGCCTGGGTGCTGTCCATGCTCAGCCTCTGGCCTCCTGTCCAGCCTTCGGAGGCCTTGGCTGAATCTCTGCCCTCCCACCAGGGTCTGCAGAGGCCAAGGGTCCATGTACAGCCAGGGTCTTGGCATTCTCACTACTTTCACATTATCTGACGGTACTAGGAACTACTTCTAAGTAGACAGGAGCCAAGGCAGGTTACCACCAGCACCCTGCTCACCGTCGTCGCTCCGTCTCCCGGATTTCACGCTCCCTCTGCCTCTGGCGCTCCCGCTCCCGCTGTTCCTTGATCTTGTCGAATGACAGTATGTCTCTCTTCTCCCTGCCCTCTGACTTTCGGTCTTGACTTTTGGAGCTCTGCTGACCAGAACAACCCAGGGAGAACCCAGTAGGCAGGGTGCTGTAGCTCCAACAGCAGCCACAGCACAGTGCAGAAGGCCAGGGTCTCTGAGGTTCAGCAGCCAACCTGGCACACATCATCCTGCCCAGATCCCAAGTACTAGGCTTTTCAGTGTTCCCCAAAGAGAAGAGATAGATGCCACACAACATCTAAATTCAGGCTATTCTAAATCTTACAGAACTGCCTGGGGGTGCAGCAGGATTACAATTTCAAGACCAGCCTAGATACAGATCGTAGCAAAAAAAAAAAAAAAAAAAAAAATCCAATACCAGACCAGAGTACCTCCTTCCAGGTAGAAAGGAGGGCACACCTCATGCTCAGACTAAGATTCTTCTGAACCTGTGGTATTTTTGTTTGTTTGTAGACAGGGTTTCTCTGTGTAGCTCTCTGGCTGTCCTGGAATTCTCTGTAGACCAGGCTGGCCTCAAATTCAGAGATCTGGCTGCCTCTGCCCCCTACCCAGTGCTGGGGTTATGTACCACTACCACCTAGTCTGTCCTTGTGGTTTTTATGGAAGATGGGTCCTCTTTCATGGTGAGTTGTTTGTGGAAGTCAGAGTTGGTTCAAACCTCACAGGCCCAGATGGCAGCATTTCTAATTCGGAACAATCAGAAAACTATGGATTCTAAGGACCCAGGAGGTGGCTCACAATTCTAACTCCAGCTCCAGGGGATCCCACACGCTGCTCCACATGTGGTGCTCATGCATATTAATGAGAAGGAAGACAGAAACAGGACCACAGGCCTTTGGCATGAAGCTGAGGCCGGCACTGTAAGGGGCTCCTGCTATCTTGCCTCTGTAGTATGTGAGCTCTCTGCACAGCTATGCTGATGCTTTCCCACTGTGGCCTCTGTTAGCAGAGGCCTGAGGCTGGGCAGCCCCGGGAGCTATAGGAATCTACATTCTCAGCCACATGCTCACGTTCTTCTGCAGAGGTGGGAACAGAGCTAGCATCACCACACAAGCCTGCACTTATCACTGGCTGCACTCCAGCCCTGGGCCTATACCTGCCAGAGCACCCAACTATACAGCCTGGCTCTTTTGGGGAGAGGCTTCCAGAATGAAGAGTCATGGACAGGCCCATACACAGCCCTGGTGCTCTCAAGGACAAGCCCCTATATTCCTTTGGGTTCATTTAGCACAAGGCCAAGAGCAAAAACAGATACGCCATCATCAGTTTAGACCAAGCTAGACAGGCCCATCAACTGCCAAAGCTGTTCATGCCTCAGTCCCTCTACTAGAAGTGGGTAGAGCTAGACAGAAGATGCCAGCTAGGTCACTTCCCAGGTAAGTGAGGCTGGGAGCTGCTGTCTCAGCCCTGCCTGCCAATGCTTACTCTGTCCTTTGACCTGCTTGTGGCCTTCACACTGATGACGGGCTCGCCCTTGGACTTGTCCATCACGACTGTGCGCTCCATGCCTCTGCTTCCTGTAGGGAAAGCACAACCATGAGCACACTGGAACTATAGCTCAGCCTTGTGTCCATTGCCTTCTTCAGTTTTCAATGCTGTTTCTGCCATGAAAACTGTAACAACTGTGTCCCTGATGAATGTATACCCAGCAATGGGCACATTTCCTCAGCGTGTGGGTGGCAAGCATGTCCCATTTGTCCTCAAGTAGCTGGCTGGCATTGTTGCACTGCCTGCCCAGGCTGTAAACACTGTGGTGACTCTGGGGAGGATTACCACACCAAGAAGCTGTAATTTCATTTTTTTAAGTCAGGGCTTCCCTGTGTAACCCTGGTTAGCCTGGATCTCACTATGTAGACCAGGCTGGCTTCGAACTCAAGATAATCTGCTTCCCTATGCCTCCTGAGTACTCGGGCTAAAGATGCCCAGCAATTTAAGTTTTATTTTATAGCTTTTGTTGTTGAGAGGAAGTCTCTAGCTGCTGGTGAAAAGCCACACGGCACAACATAGCTCTCTTCAGCATTAGGAAGGGGGGCCACTGGTTTCAACAGAAAATGAAACAGAGAGCCTTGGGCAAACTCCACAAAAAAAGTGCAATCAAGCACTATAATATGGGAGCAAACAGCATAAAAAGCATGAAATAAACACAAGAACTGGGACCAGGTAACTAGCTCAGCACTGGCTTTGAGAACCAAACCTTAGAACTCAAGAACCACTTGAATGCCAGCTGCAAGAAGACCTTAGTGGCAACACACACACCCACACACATATACACACCCACCCCACAGGCAAATTCACAAACAATTCACAAACACAGCAGGAGCTGTCCCAGCAGGGGGTGGACTATGATTATCAGCTTTTTCTTCCATCTTAAGATGGGTTGGCCAAAGTGCCCCTTCTGCCTTGGCCGAGAGCAGCCTGTGTTCTAGGGTTATCTACCATACCCCGACAGGACAGGGATCCAGAGAAACTGGACTATACACATAACCCTATGTCCAATGACTACCAGCCCCTGGCTCAGGGCTGCCTTCTGCTGTGGAGCAAGCCCTTTCCTCCTGTGTGGGCAGGGGCTACCCCTAGACTCCGCTCTCAGGCTGCTGTACAGCTGATGCTGTGATTTTGTGACAGAGGTTCACTAGACTGTCCAAGGTGGCCTTAATTACAATCTCCCTGACAACAGTTCTAAGCAGCGGGGTGATGGCCTGGGCCACTAGGCTTCATCTGCAGAAGAGATCCTTTGATCCCATCACATGGTCTGCAGCTGACCCAGCCAAGTGACAACTCTTGCCTGCCTCCTGCTCATGACACCCTGAGCCCCACCAGGCCTCCATCTCTTCCACCAGCAACCAAGATGCTGTTTACCTGATTTGGTGACTCGAGAATGACTGGCAGCTCCTGGTGTGAGCTCATCTTGATCCTTCTCCTTTTTTATGTCTTCTGGCCCTTTCTCCTCCTTTTCCAGTTTCTCTTCCTTCTTGATCACAGTTCTGTTGAAAATAGTTAGCTGTAGTCTCCCAGAGGTCTCCACAGGAGCCACCAGCCCCATCCAGCAAGAAAAGAGAGGATCTGTGGCCTGAACCATTTTTTGTTTTGTTTTTTTGTTTTTGTTTTTTTTGAGACAGGGTTTCTCTGTGTAGCCCGGGCTGTCCTAGAACTCACTCTGTAGACCAGGCTGGCCTCAAACTCAGAAATCCACCTGCCTCTGCCTCCCAAGTACTGGGATTAAAGGCGTGCGCCACCACTGCCCGGCCTGAACCACTCTTGATCCCCTATGGCAGCCTAAAATGCTAGAAGTGCCAGGACAGAGTGCTGCTGAAACCCGGTTCCTCAGTGAACCCAGAGGCTGGACTCAAAATCCTGATCCATCTGACTCTAGATGCTGGGATGACAGGTGTGTAGCGTCATATCTGGTTCTTTATGGTACTGTAGACGGAACTCAGGGCTTGCTACACTCCCAGCCAAAAGTTTGCTTCCATGTGTGGGTATACCCACAATGCACACATGTAAGACAGAGGCTAATTGGTTTTCTCTATCATGTAGACTCTAGTAATCAGGCTTGGTGGCAAGTACGTTACCAGCTGAGCCACCTTAAAAGTATTTATACTTTTATAGAAACTCTTAAGGAAAATAACTTTAATCAAGTATAGTGGGTGAGCCTGTCTCTCTAGCTTTTGGGAGACTGAAGCAGGATTGAGTTCTGTGCCAGTTTAGGTCACAAGGTGAGAGATACTATCTCACAATAAACTAACACCAACTGACTCCCATGCTGACAAACAGGGCAGAGTAACCATGATGCTAGCCTAAGGAGCATGCTCTATCTGGCCTGACCTGCTTCCCATAGTTTCTAGACTCTTACACACTAAGCACACAAGTATTTATCTAGGCATGGCCCTCTATCTTCCCAAAAGTGCCGTCCTGTGGAGTCCTAGTATTGTGGTGTGGGTTGCATCTGCCTTCTGCATTGCCTGAGGCACAGAAGCACACTGCTGTCTCTTCTCAGCTGCCTCTTTCAGCTGCTGCCGAGAGCCTGAACTGACTTTTTACACCCCCTACTGCTTTGGGCGTCCTTATTCATACCCCATTCTCCTTCCTCTTGGCATCTCCTTCCTATAGACCTCCAGTGATCCTGCCCTGGGTTCTCCCTTTAAACTTTACACCTTCAGGCTTGCACTTATGTCTGTTCTTAAATTTGTTTATTAATGAGATTCAGAGCCCTAAAAGGGGATCCTGATTTCCCAGGCATCATATAATGGAAGATTTTTGGTAAAACTTTTAATCCTTTCATCCGCAGGGGGTAAAAAAAACACTCTCCTGTTACCATGCTAAAAGAAGGCAGCACTGGAATAAGCCTCTGCATACTGTGCCTGTCACCTATCATGCTTGGCCACATGGCTATAGGCAGGAGCACCTAGAGTGAGTCATGGCCTCACTTATGCTTTGGGGAACAGCTGCTGGGTACTTCCCCAGAGCCTGCCTCTCCCACACTGGCCTCATGACCTGATGCCTGATCTCAGTGACACTGACATTCTCAGTGCTGTGGTAGTTGCTGCCATCCTCACTATGGGACTTGAGGGACATTGAGCACTCTGAGGCCAGCCTGCTGCCCAATGACCTGCATAGAAAGCTGCTGAGTAGCTTATAAAGCCCAGCCCCAATTGCATTGACACTACCCACGTGACATCCAACAAACAGCAGAGCTCTCCTGCTAAAGTCTCCTCAATGGTGACAACAGAAACTATCAGGCACTTGCCAGACCTCCAGGTCTGTGCCTATTTCTGTTGAAAACCTAAGCCATGTCCTTTGGCAAAAGCAATTCTGAGGCCCTGAGCTCCAAGGTGCTAAGGCATCTCAGGGTGCCATAGGGATGCATGACATGCTGGGATAGTTTTTTTTAAAACAAACAAACAAACAAACAAACAAAGGGAATGCCTGGTGTCTGTCAGGATAGCACAGATGGCCTGCTCAAGGTCCATACTGCAGCAACCATGACTGCAAGTTGGGAAAACTGGTGCAAGTTTGGGTTGAGTCAGCCCAAGAAGCCCTTCCAGGTCTGGGAAGTTCTCATGGCTAGGAACTCAACGCTAACCAGCTGTCTGGCTCTGGACTAAGGACTGCATTGTCCTATAGCTATCAGCTAGGAAGGATGGTTTACAAGGGCACTGGGTCCCTAGAGGACAGGGCCGCAACGTCACTGTACTTCTCCATCTTGATCTTCACAGGGTGAGGTCTGTCCGGCCCTGGCACCTTCTCCTTTTGGTCACAAGCTCTCCTGTCTGCCGACTTCTTCTCAGAGGGTTCATTTTTGGCCTAGAATGTAAAGGGGTGGTGGTGATTGGGGGTGACACAGCACTGTTATTGCTAAGGTTGACAACAACAGAGACCTCACCTTCTCCACAGAGATCATCCTCCCATGCAGTTCAGTTCTGTGTAGGTGGGTAATGCATTTGGTGGCCTCATCTGATGTGGACATGGTCACAAATCCATAGCACCGAGCCCCAGGACTACGGGCATTGGTGACCACCTTGGCTCCGATGACCTCCAAGCGAAAGAACATACCAGTATAAGGACACATCTGGCCTCTGTCATAAAACCACAGGGCTTATTAAAGACCTAGCAATAGACACCCATATCTGCTGTTGTTCTCAGTACTCAGTTCTAGGTAGTCTCCCTCTACGGACTCTAGAGAATCTTTCTCTATTAGAGCAAAGTTTGTCTCATTGTGACAAACAGTACTCAAAGCCAGTAGAGCATCACATGGATATGGAACCTAGTCAGACCCTGCATAGCCAAAAGTGCCTGCTCAGTAGCACCTGACACCCACCAGGCCCTCTGGTGAAGGCAGCACTGTACCATAGGGAAGGGCAGACATTTTGTAGACTTGGGAGATTCCAGACAATGGGCAGGGAAGGGAAACTGAGGTGCGTTACAGGAAAGCTGAGAAAATGGAGAGAACTGGATGGTGGTGCCCTGATTCAAGCATGGGGAGCTATGCAGGAGGGACCCTCATGGCTAAGACAAGACAGCCAGAAGCTGGCACATCTACCCACATGAACAGAGCTTTACTGTATCCAGCCATATGGGACGTGGGACAATGCCAGAATCTGTTCAGCCAAGAAGTAGCCCAGTATGTCAGGAAGGTGTAGGGCACTGAAAGTGACTGGCAGTGCACAGTATAGACCATGTCAGAAAGTGCAAAAGAATCTATCAGGATGAAACAAAAAAACTGAGAGACACCAACTAGGCCCGGGGAGGTGAGAAAGGGCTGGCTGGGAGCTTGGCACTATCCTGAGGCCACAGAATTATGTGCCTGCCTCAATCCCATGAAAACAATGATTGGCAGAGTTCCACGAGGGACCACAATGTGAGTCCCTAAAGACAGGAGCAGGAAAAGCAGAGCCCAGAAAAAAATGTGTTCCTGTGAAAACACTCCAAACCAGGGAGAAAGAACTGAAAATGTTGGGAGAAAAAGGCAGTGCGTAGTGGAAAAGACAAAAATCAAGCTCAACTGGAAAGGGTGTGTCTGTCCACTGAAGAGCAAGGATGCCCTCCTTTTAGTCAGGAAGCACAAGGGAGGAAGCCTGAGGGCAGGAAGAACCTGGGGCAGTGGGCTGCAGACCTGAGCCTTTAGTGTCAAGCGTAACTGCCAAAGTGAATATGGCAAAGCAAGAAATGGCATCACCCTATGCTCTGGAACCCAGGGATGCACTCCAGCTCACAGAACATGCGTTGCACACATAAACATATGCTCAACAGCATCCAGAGAGTCAAACAGCCAGAAGGATAGTTGCACAAAAGGTTTGAAATTCAGACAGACAAATGGGGCCTGGGGGCAGAGTGCTCTGAGACCCAAGTCAGAAGAATGGCAGCATGTTGCCCTCCAGAACCTCAGGCACCAAGTATCTAACAGAAAGAAGCATGTGTCCTGGCACACAACGTGCTTCGTATATTGGAGGTACAGCTGGGTGTCTAGAAGCATACTGGCCTGCTGCACCCATAGTCTGAGCCTTGGGAACACCCTTGGTTTCATTCTATGTGAAACATAGCTTTCTTGAGACTTATGCAGACACATATACACCAAATGGCTCTCAAGGGGTAGGCACCTATGTACATACCACAGTGCATGGAGGACAGCAGCACCAAATAACTATGGTCTAAGAGCCTGTTTTTGTTTTTAAGATATACATATATATATATATATATATATATATATATATATATATATATATATATATATATTTATTTCACTGTCTTCAGACACACCAGAAGAGGGTATCAGATCCCATTACAGATGGTTGTGAGCCACCAAGTGGTTGCTGGGAACTGAACTCAGGACCTTGGAAGAGCAGTCAGTGCTCTTAACCACTAAGCCATCTCTCCAGCTCCCCTAAGAGACTGTTATGACATCACTTGCAGTGGGTATGGTTAACTGCTGAGAGTGGGGCAGGTCCCTAGGCCTGCACCCAAGGATAATGAAGATTTCTGCAGGGACCACACCCATGCCTAGGCACTTGCTCAGAGTACTGAGTGTCCCACTGCTCAGACTCAGTAACGCGCAGGGTAGTCTCTTTTGTCCCCAAGTGCCGGAGGGAAGCTCTCAAGTGTGTCCACTTGAGAAACTGGATCCTGCTCAAGTCTCCTGCTCAAGTCTCCAGTGCTCCAGGCTGAAGAATACAGAGGCCAACAGCACACAATAATGTTGTGTGGGCTTTAGTCTCAAAAGGACCTTTCAGAGGGCACTGTCCTCACAATGTCCTGAGAAGAGCCAAGATAGCACAAATCTAGTCTCTGCTGGAACCTGGGTGCTCTAAGCACAATGCTGCCCAGGGTGAGTCTGATCTTTATGTCTCCACCTTAGGAATCCTGAGATCCACTTTATGTGGTACTGGGTTTGGACCCCAGGACCTCCTGACAGCCAAAGGGGAGTACTCTACACACTCATCTCTGCCCCCAGGCCTCAAGGAGTGGCACAAGCCTGTCACCACATCTGTCCCACATGTGGAAGGAGGCAGACAGCTCAACTGTGAGAACTCAGTACAACATGACAGAGAAGCTGGGAGTGGTGGTCCAAGTCTGAGATCAGCCTGACCTGCACAGTGAGTTCCAGGCCACCAAGGGCTACAAACAAGAGCCTTCCCCAAGTCCAAACCAAGAAGGTGGGTCTAGTCATTGACAGAATGCTTCCCAAGCATGCATTAAGCCCCAAGTTCCATCTTCAGCATGAACAAGAGAAAATAGAAACATATGAGGAAATGGACACTAAAAGCTAGGAAGCTAGATGCTTTTCCAATTCCACCTTGCCAGCTGGCAGAAGCAGGGTGCCCTACCTTCCCATGCTTGCTGAAGAGGCTCTTGAGATCAGCAGCACGTGTGCTGGAGGACAGCCCACTGACCCACAGGTTCCTTCCTGAGCTACAGCTGGCACGACCTGGAGAGAGGAGGTCATCAGTGCCATTGCGGCAGGACCCATCCACATGGGGCATAAACTGCAAGATCCCCTGCCATGCCTATGCATAAGTGTGGAGGTTCAAGGGGATTTCTCAAATAATTTTCTACCTTATTTTCTGAGACACAGTCCAATGAACCTGCAGTCCACAGTTGTCGGACTGGTGGGGTAGTGAAGCTCAGAGCTCCCCTGCACCAACTCCCCAGCACTGCAGTTACAGGGACGCTACATCTGGTGTCTACAAGGCACCAGGGATAACTCAAGAGTCTTTGGGTTCACATTGCAGGCACTCTACATGAAGCCACCTGGCTCTTCACTCCAGAAATAATCAGAGCAACACACCATGGCAGAGAAGCCTTGGAAAGATGGCTCAAGAGCTGCCTCCTTGCCACTTATAGAGCAGGTGTTCCTGTCTAGACACACTACCCATGACGCACAACACAGAAGAACACACACAACCACTCAGAATCTTGACAGTGGTTCAGGGAAGTGCCATGCACAGGGACAACTGGCACATTGGGTAGCCTGGAGCCCATCCCCTCCCTGGGTCACCACATGGCAACAGGACAAGGGAGGCCTACCTCTCTCATCTTTAATGACTGGCTTTATATCTTGTTCTTCCTTAACAGAGCTAGAGACAAAAATGAATGTTACTGCAATATACAAAACCTAAAGTAAATGAATTTTACAATAGCAATGTGTTCAAGCTGAATACCTACCAGGGAGTTAAGCTCATATTAAACTGACAGACACCTTTTGTGAGTTTATGTTGAAATATCTGACCACATACAATGCCAGATCCCTATAAAGCAATTCAGCTTAGCTGGCGATACCGGTCATCAATTTAAGAACCCAACCATGGCAGGTTGAGTAAGGGAAAACCAATCACCCATTAACTATATGCAGAGACAGTGATCTGCCTGAAGGAGCTAGCTGGGCAGTGTGGCTGCCGACTGCAGGCTCTAACAGCTCATGTGTGTCCTAGTGACAATGAAAGGAGATAGCGTCTGGTCTAGGACTGAGAATCAACAAACCTCATTTTCTGATCAGCGCCCTCACTGGCTGAGGACTCTTTAGGAGCCGCAGGGACGTCATTACAAGCGTCAAAAGCAAACTTCTTCACGTCGTCTTTGCTATCTTGGGGCTCAGGGCTCAGGGCTGCCGTGGGCGCTCGCACCAGCTCCTGGCTGGTGGCCTCCGGGAGCTGGGCAGCCGTGCTACTCTGTTCAACTGGCTCCTCTAGCCCTACAGGCTCGCGGTCCATCCCGGCACCTCCACCTGTGCCCAGGGCTTCTGCCTGTGCCTGATGCTTCCGCCTTCGCTTGCGCTTCCGCCTGTGCCGAGTACCTCCACCTCCACCCGGCGCCTCTGCCGGCTCCCTTTTCACTACTGCTAACGGGGCGTCTGCCTCACTCCACTGACACTGAGTGCTTGGAGACTCAGACTTGCTGCTGCTGGCCAAAGCTAAATCTCCCTCCTCCTCCTGCTCCTCTTCCTGTTCTTCTTCCTCCTCTTCCTCTTCCTCTTCCGGGTGGCCGCAGCTCTCAAATAGGTCCTCTTCCTCCGCCAGCTTCCTGTCTGGCCCCACGCTACTCGTGGCCTGGGCAAAGGGCTGCTCCAGCTCCGAACCTTCTTCTTTTACTGGCTCAGATTTACAAGTTTCCCCCAAAATGTCGAGTATTTTCTCATTTTCTACGGATTTAACAGGAATAGAATGGCACAAGGTTTAATCACCAGGGAAATAAAGCAATCACAACTGTGGCTCTGGTGCTGCGGCCCTGCTCATACCGACAGAATTGCTGGCTACACAGAGATTGGAAAACCCACTACACAGCGCCTGCACCCTACCTGCGCCCACGGCCATGGCGCCCCCAGCCTGCGCTACTGGCAGATGTGGGGGCCCCCATATTTCTACTCTACAACCACAGCGCAGCTTCCATAGCTTCTTCAGGGTTTCCATGATGCCTGTGTCTTCTGACTTCCTTCCCAATGTCCACAGTGCTGAAGCCACGGCAGTCACCATTTACTGAGAAGCTTGCTGCTCTCAGCTTGATGGATCGCGGTCAGCACCACAGTCCAAGGCTACTGGAACCGGTCTTCACCTTTGGGAACATGGCAGTCCATAGGGGCTGAGGATGAACATCTTGGTAGAGACCCACTTATCTTCTGGCATTGGTGGCTTCTGGGGTAAGTCCCCTACCACAGCCTCAGCCTGCCTCAACTGCCTCAACCCCATGACTTTGGCTTGGTATGGTATCACAAGATCTGTCTCGTGTGTGGACTCACTGCCTCACCTGGTGGCCACTTATAGCCACTCTGCATGCCCTGATGCAAGCGGCACATCTGCCCCCAAGGCTGCCTTGGGCTGCCACAGCACAGGCACAGATCTGGTGATACAGTGGGTTTCCAATCTCTGATCCTGTGCGATTGGGATGGTCCACCACTGGGGTGATTTATGAAACCATAACACAGCTGAGATCAGACAGGACTTAAGTACAAGCAGCAGGGGCACCAAGCCGCACTATTGTGCCTGTCTCAGCAGTACCTGGTTCCAAGGGGGTTTCTTCTTCAGCCTGTTGGAGAGAGAATAGAAGGGTACACATCACTCCAAATAACACAGCCACAGATCCCGTGCACACATCTGTAACCAAGGCCTCATCCACTCAGGGGCTTCTTAGTGGACACCTAGAAAAAGCTCTGTGTACCAGGCTGAAGTGCCCCTCTGGGCCTGAAACTGAACCCTATTCTACGAAGTAGCCAATGGCAAAGATACAGAGAGACAAGGCAGTGGTCACCTTCCCCCTGCCCCCCAACTTAAGGACTTAAGGAAGCCCACCTGCTTACTCAGGACAATGGCTGCACCCCCTGCACAAGCCTGAGACTTCATAGTCCCCAGCACAGACATCTCTGCACACCAGGAGTTGCACCCCTTATTGCTTCAGGGCTACCACCATACTAAGTTCATCCCCGACCTCAGCTACTCTAACTTCAAGCCTGGATTTCTCTGGCAACCTTCCAGGCACTTTCAGAGCCCAACTGCCTGGCCCTTTGGTCCTGATCATAGCCCCACCACACAATACCCCTACAACCCACGTGCCAGGTTGGAGGTGACTGGACTACAGGGCTCTGGTCCTATCAATGGTTCCTTCTTTTGGTGGATGTGAACATACAACAGAAAGATATTGGCTGGGGAAGGAGAGGCCTCTGTTGTCTCTTCCTTTCTCTGCTCCCTGGCCACCATGAGAGGGAGCAGCCTCCTCTGGTACACTCTCCTACTGCCATGATATTCTGCTTCCTCTTAGACATATAGCAAGTCTACCTGACCTTGGACTAAAGCCCCTGGAACTATAAGCCAAGGTACATCTGCTCCCCTAACTGTCCCTCAGGGAACTGTCACAAGGTAAACAGCCAGTGTACCTGTGCTCTCCAGACACATACACACACACACACACACACAGAGTCTTATCTGGAACATCAGTGTCTCCTACACTGCAAGAACCACAGGGAGACTCAACTCACCAGAGTTACTTTAAGGTCTGACATGGAAACTTCCAGAGTGTTCTTGAAGACATCCTCATTTACCTGGCAAATGAATCAGAACATGACTTCATGGAGGCCAGAGGTGTGAACACTTCAGCTTGTACCTCACAGGTTCCTATACAACTTATGTCCACTCCTCAACAGTGCCTATCACTATGTCAACTCAGCTGAGGATAGCAATCACCCTTCACTTCAGGCTGAGGCTCATGGCAGTTCTCAGATGTGTGCTGGCTGAGTAAGGACACTGACTTTCCTGTCCATTTCTAAGTACAGGAGCCTCACATCCCAACAGGTGCTCCTCTAGTTCTACTACCTCAGACTTACCCTTATTGCTCTGTGCATGCTTGGGTGTGTATGCGTGTTGGAGGACCACTTTGGAGTTGCTGCTCTCCTTTCACCTCGGGATCCATAATTCCTGAAGCCCAGAGAGCCTCCACTGGGGCCACACACTCGGACTATGCTGAGCGGAGGTCCTCCAGTTTATCTAAAACCCACTGGATGTTCCTACATTCCCTGACCTCAGTTGAGGCTCAATCTCAGCAAGTCTCTCAAGAATGAAACCACAGTACCACATGGAATCAACTAGCTGTGTGCATCATGCAAAGCCAACCTGCACAGGATGGCAGTCGTCCATGGGACAGACTTGGGTTGGCCTCAGGTCTTTAGAGCAGACAGCAGCACCACCAGGTGACAGACTGTTCTGTTGAGTATATTTCCAGAGCAGTTAAAATCCCTTGTGACCCAAATAGTCTTCATGCCACCCACACACCCATCTCCTTATGAATCCACAGCACTTCCTGCACTATGGTGCAGCAGTGGCCACTGGCCCACAATCCCTACCAGGGATTAAACTCGGGGTCTGGTTCTACCAGGGCCTGGGTAGCCCCGATGCTGAGCCCCTGGGGCCGCTGGCGCACACGTGGCTGCAAGTTACCTACAGCATGCTTCAGGAGCTGAGCTGGAAGCTGTCCCAGCTGCGCGGCCACGTACTCTTTACTGTCATCTAAGGCATGAAGAATCTGGTCGTTGGTGTCGGCCTTCCCCAGGCAGGGCACACTGAGGTCCTCAGCATCCATCCCATCTGGCACACCTGTATCCATGGTGTCCCTGTCTTGTGAACTCTGAAGAATCACAACCCTATCCTGTGAGGGAAGTGAAGGTGTCAGTCACCAAGACCCTGGGGCATGGGAAGGTATGCCCCCCAGGCCCAACACACCTGCCCATCTCTGGAATCTTCCTCCAGGCCGTTGTCCTCACTGCCCTCCTCCTCCATCTTGGGTCCTAGTTATAGAATAGTGTCAGTTGGGTTAGAGACCAGAGCCAGGCTCACTCAATTCGTTGACAGGGGACAACAAAATTCTATATTGTTGGTGATTTGTCCATATTGCCGGGACTCTGTCTTGGTGGGTGTCTAAGCCAAGGCTTCAATCACCCTAGCATAGCACTCAGACTTTGCATAAAACAGCTTTAAGAGATCTCAAATTTGTCCCAGACTAAACACCTCAAAAAGCAGAAGGAAAAAAATAAGCTAGGCTGGTCTAGAGCTGACTGCCTCTGCCTCTCCATCACACCAGGCAACAAACACTTGAAAATGGAAACTTCACTGCTAGTTGGGCTGGGCTACAAAAGCCTGTGGGACACATGCAATGCAGTCTGTGGACACCCTGGACTATTGATGAGAAGTCTACTTGCATTCTGGGAAAGCCCTAAAGCCATAAACAAAACCTGAATGTCATCCACTAAAAGAGTGGTCTGGGGAGATTGCTCAGTGGTTAACATGGACACTGAACTCAATCCCCAGCACCCATGGAAATGCTGAGTGTGGTGATATCTGCACTGTCATCCCAGGGCTGGGGAGGTATAGACAAAGCACTGGGCACTTTCTGGCCAAACATTTTAGCTGAATCAGCAGCCCCAGGCCAGAGGATAAAGCTCTTGCCAGGTGAGATTTGAATGACAAACATCAGGTCAGAACACTTTATGTCCAGTTCTCTGTGCTGTTTGGGGAGACTATGGACTCTTTAGGACAATGGTCCTCAACCTTCAAAATGCTATGACCCTTTAATACAGTTCCTCATGTTGTGGTGACTCCAAACCATGAAATTGTTTTCATTGATAGTTTGTAGCTATAGTTTTACTACTGTCATGAATTGTAATATAAACATCTGTTTCCCCCATGGTCTTAGGTATTAGGTAACCCCTGGGAAAGTGTCATCTGATCCAAAAGGGTTGTAACCCACAGATTGAGAACTGCTGGTTTAGGAAGAGGAAGAACCTTGCTAAAGGAAGTCTGTCACAGTGAGAGGTTCTGAGAGCCTCACTTCACTTCTGGTCTCTCGGCTTCCAGTGCATGGATGGAAATGTGACCGACCATCCAGCTTCCTGATCCAGCTGCCCACAGGCATGCCATCCCCAACATTACCAACTCTCCCTTTGGAATCAAATGCCGAAGTTCAATCCACAGAACCAACTGTCTAAAGCTGTCTGCATGTGGGCCGCTACATTTATGCTGGGGAGGTGGAGCTAGGAGGATCCTTGATGGTCAACCAGCCAGGCTGAATCAGCAGGCTCTAGGCCAGTGAGAATCGACCCCACAAAAGAACATGGATAACTGAGGTCAACCCACTGTTGACCTTGTATCACCTATATGTGCACACCAATCCACATAAACACAGAAACCTCAACTTTTAAGAATCCTCAAGACTTTGACTAACAATCCAAATCCCAGCCAGGACCATAGCTTGATGGCTAGACAGTGTGCCTAGTGGCCCTGGTTAAATTCTCAGAACCAGATAACCTCTATGGTGCTCAGAGAAGTTCAGATGGAGAATGGGACTCTAAATAAACACTCATGCCCTCTGTCTGTGGTGGCATGGAGGTAACTTTATGGGACATAGAAAGGACACACCGATAGTTGTTGAACATCAGCACAAGGGACAATTCATTAGCCAATTCAACAAGAATTGCAGGTCCTGCACAGGTCAGAACTATTCTGGTGCACTGATTTCACCTGTATTTGAGAGACTCTGGAACAAATACACGGCTTTCTGCACACTGGGTAAATACTTGCCCACCCTAAACCCCTTGTTTGAGCCAGTCCCACTTGTGAGAGGCAGTGACTTTGACTTTCTTGGAACTTCTTCCCACCTTGCCAGAAACCAGTGCTCAGAGAACCACTAACTTAGTGCCTCATGGGCTAAAACCTCACTGCTACCATCACAGAGCCTCTGACTGGTCTGGAAGCCATAGGTATATCACAGAAAACACCATACTCCTGAGCACCTCCAGAGGTGGAAAGGCACAGTTCTGCCCAAGGAGGCACCCTCTTGACCATTCCAGACCTCTCCCAAGCTCATCTGACAATGCTGCCCACTGATCTGATATGCTTGAGTTGGGTCAGGCAAGTGTTTGCAAGACAAGCAGCCAGGGTTATACTATACTAGGCCTCCAGGCTAGTGCTTTTTAAAAAATTATAGTATGGCCATCTCTGTGAGAACAGGTGGACATATGTGTGCCTCAGTGTGCATGTGGGGGTCAAAGGTCAATGTTTGGGAGCCAGTTGTTGCTTTCCACCATGCTGGTCTCAAGAATCAAACAACTCTCAGACTCAGAAGCAGACACCTTTAATAGCTGAGCCTTTTCACCAGCCCTCAGTTCTTTCTTTCTTTCTTTTTTTTTTTTTCAAAACAGGGTTTCTCTGCATAGCCCTGGCTGTCCTGGAACTCACTTTGTAGACCAGGTTGGTCTCAAACTCAGAGATCCAACTGCCTGTCTCCTAAGTGCTGGTGGTCCCATGCACCACCATAGTTGACCCTTAAGAGTCTCATGTAGCCAGGCCATTCTCTTGCCTCAGCCTAGAGTGCTAATGAAAAGCTATCCTTCTTGAAGCCACTGGTAAAACCTGACTTCAGGGAAATGGGCAGATGGTTCAGTTGGCAAAACATTTCCTGTACAAGCCAGCTTAAGGGCCTGGGTTCAATCCCAGCACACCTGAAGAGCTGGGTGTGAGGGCACTTGTAATCCTATTGTCGGGATTTGAAGATGGAGGTCCCTGGAACTCACAGGCCAGTAGCCCAGCCAAATCACTAGGTAGACAGGCTGGACAGACGGTTTGGCGTTTAAGAGTGCTGGCTGCTGTTGTACAGAACAGGCTTCAGCTCACAGTAATCACATGGAGACTGGTAACCATTCCTGACTCCAGTTCTAAGGGATCCAAGACCTGCTTCTGACCTCTGTGGGCACCAAACACAAACACACACACGACATAAAACCTTAAGACAAAAACAAAACCTGAGGTGGACACAATGCGACACCAAGACCAAAGGTGTCCCGTACATATGTACATGTATATGCATACTATACATACATATGTACATGTACATGCATACTATACATACACATGTACATGCATACTATACATATACACGTCAATTACTGGTTTTGACACCCATTCCCCAGGCCCAGCATCAAGCACAGGCAAGTACCTTTGGTGTTTCTCTTTATAGGCCTCTTGCTCGCAGATCCCCAGCTGATACCGACCTCCTCTGGTTCTTGTCCTTCCTCCTTAAATGCCTGATGGGAAAGAAAGTTACTTTTCAGGAGGAACTGGCACAAATTGTTCTTTTTTAAGTAGCAACTTTGCAGTTGCCAGTGTTCATAATCTGGCTTCAGACCACATCCAGCAGCCAGCTCCCCTTTCCTTTTCAAGGCCCAAAACCCAGAGAAAGGGAGGCTGAAAACTTGGGTTGCAGAATTAGGGTCAGCAGGTTGTGGTCATACACTACCTTGCAGCTTGTAGCCCTAGATATAATCCCCAGCACAGACAAAAAAAACAAAATATTGCCCCCAAATCAGGGTTGGTGATTGCTCATCTTATGTGGCCTTTTGCCAAACACGGGGATGATGGCAGGAAACTTGTCTTTGATTCAGGCAGGGCAAAGGACTGAGTGGGGCTCAAAAGACCTCTCACAACGAAGTAAACCTTTAATTCCAGCATTTTGGAGGTGAAATGGGGCAGGAGATCAAGAGCTCAATGCTATCCTGAGCTACACAGCAAGTTTGAGTCCACCCTGAGCTACAGGATCTCTCCAAAATAAACTCTCGAGGGGGAGGGATCTGATTTTTGAGGAGGAAAAAGAGAATATAGGCCAAGGAAGAAAGAGAGCAATTTTTCAAAGTATTCTGGCACCTTCCACCTGCAGCCAATCAGAAGGCCCTAATACTCAAGGACCCTGTTCCACATAGGCAAGTTTATGTCAAGTATTGAAGTGCACCAGACAAGACTTGTCTATTGGCTAGGAAGTGACATCTCACGCTGACTCCAGATGACAACTAGACTCCAGACCAGGGAAGCGCAAGGGGACCAGAACTGGGAGTGGGCATGGTCTGTGCAGAGGACTGACTAACAAATTCTCCGTAAGAATAAACTGAGGTGGCAGAACAGGCAGCTGCAGATGCAAGGTCATTGAGACTTGCCCAGGGCCACTCTATTACTCAACAAGGCTTCGATTTCTGCAAACCCCGGGGCAAATGGGAAGCAAGACACAGAAGGGGCAGCGGCGGGTCAAGGTCACATAGCCTCGGCTTCCTAGGCGACTGACAGCACAGACCGAAATGGGGGATCGGGGTGGGAAGCCCCGCCCGAGTCTCGGAGACAAAATATGTGTCCGGGTCTACGGCACCAACCGGATCCCCTCACCTTCTTCAGCCGCTCCATCAACACACTCTTGTTGCCTCCTGTATCCAGGTTCCGCTTCTTCAGCTCCGCCCTCAGGTCGATCACCCGCAGGTCGCTAAGCCGCCGCATCCCACTATCCGAGGCGACCTGACCAAAGGCAGGGTCGCCCGACCCGGTCACAGGTTCTGCCATCCTCGCTTCCGCGACTTCCAGGCTCGCTCCGGAACCTCCTACACTCACTGCCCCCAGCTGTGGCGGCTCTGAGTACAAAATGGCGCCGCCTAAGAGGAAAACGCACTCGCTTCCTCCCGCCTCCCTTTGCGGCTGCACAGGCGCACAGCGCTGACGCACCTATTAAGTCGCACGCCGTATCATTCTCTAGCCTCGTTGGTACAAATGCACATGCGCAACCAGTCGTAAGCGCCACCGTCCCCTTTTTTTCTTTATGCGCACGCGCACTGCCTTGAAGCAGCCTATGCTCACAGACCCGGTTTGTCTCTCGCAGCGCTTCTCGGCTGCGTACGCCACCGCTCTACAGCTGGTGCTTCGACACCCACCTCTCTCACCTCAATGCGCAGGCGCATGAACTGTAGCACGCATGCGTATGGTCCGTGGCCAAGGACGAGCCAGCGAGACGCGCCTGCGCCTTCTCTGCCGATGTGCTCACGGCGCTTTTGTAGAGGCGTCTGAGAGCGTCCGTCTCGCGCCGGCGGCGCCTGCGCAGTGTCGAGGTGCGCCTCAGGGGAGGCTGAAGCGGTTCCCTCTCAGGCGGCGCCATTTTGTGGTAAGAGGGCCGAGATTCAAAAAAAAAATAACAAATCCAAAAAACACACTCACGCAAACCCACTGACCCGGTTCTGTGTGAAGTGGGCGACGGAACCAGGGTCCCTGGAATGGCGGAGACTCTGTCGGGTTTAGGAGACACGGGTACGGCAAGCGCGGCGGCCGTGAGCTCCGCGGCGTCAGAGACCGGGACGCGGCGGCTCAGCGACCTGCGGGTGATCGACCTGCGGGCAGAGCTGCGGAAGCGAAACCTCGACTCGAGCGGCAACAAGAGCGTGCTGATGGAGCGGCTGAAGAAGGTGAGGTTCGCGGGGGACCCCACGGTCGCCATGGCGACACCCACCGCCCGGCTCGGAGCGGCCCGTGGCCTTCGCGCCGCGCGCTAACTCTCGGGCTCCGCGGGCGCCGGGTATGAGTGTTCGAATCCCGACGCCGCAGCGATGCGACCAGAAGGAAATAACACCGCGAACGGGTTCGGGGGATCGATGACATCGCATTCCCTGTACTGCTTAGTCCCAGTCCTAAAGGGAGATGGAGGAGACTCGGCCAAGGTCATCCAGAAGGGTCAGCTTGTGACAGGATTCGATTTCAAGGCCCTTTTCGGCCCCCAAGGCAGAACAGGTGGTTTTTTTCTTTTTGTGGGAAGACACGGAGACTTGTGGGGGGATGAAACCTGAGGAACCCTCAGAGTTCATAGACAACCAGAGGAGGTAGGTAGCCCAGGGAGGAAAAAAAGGCTGAAAAATAAATTGTTTCTAATTCTTTGCTAGAACTAAGCTAGGAGGAAGTACGAGATGAGTGAAGAGAAGTTTTTTTTCTGTTGATAAAGGTAAGTCAGATGAGAGTACAAGGCCAACCTGAGTAGTAGAGTTCAGAACTAGCTGTAGGGTGTCCGAGATCAGACCTAACTAAGGGGTGTGGAGGGGGAGTTGTGAGACAAACCAGGGCAACTTAGCAAGCCTGTTGTAAAGTGTAAAGTAAGCTTCAAGGGCTACTCATGCCTTGCATACACAATACCCTAAGTTTTATCCTACATACCTCCTAAGGTGGGGAGTGGTGGAGGGAGAAGGATCCTCAGTTTGAGGCCATCTTGGAATGCATGAGATAGAGCCTTTCTGTAAAAAAATAGTAGGTTTTTGTTTTGTCTCTGTAAAAAGAAGGCTGGGCACATAGATCAGTGGTAACTTGCTTGCCCAACATTATAGAGGCACTGGGAGCCACCCCCACGGCTGCTAGAACACACCATTCTGTATAATCAGGTGGGAGTCAGAGGACTTAGTTCCAGCCTCAGCCTGAGCTCCAGGGGCACGTAGAGAGGCTCATTTCTAATGCCTTCCTCGGTGGCCTAGATTGTCAGGAAGACTTTTAAACTTCTCCAAGTGTCCTCAGGTCAAGGCAGAAGTAGTTCACCTTTAGGATAGGGTGGACATCGCTTGGCTTGTAGCCTAGTCCAAGTAAACAGGCTCAGTCTCCTCAGGCTTCCTTTTGGCATTTGTAGATGGGACTGGAGCCTCACTTTAGAAAGCAGACTCCGTGTGTCTTACACGCTGGGAAGTTACCCTCTCTGGCTGTGGGATGTTGCCGTCTGCCCAATCAACCCTGCACACAGGAGCTGGAGATTTCACCCTCCTAGATCCATCCAAAACTGTCACCAGTTGCTGTTTAGAGATAATAATGGCAGAGGAGGGCCTGAGTTCTGTGCCCAGCACCTGCAATAAAGGGCAGCTGGGATTGCCAGCTGCCACAAAGAGACAGGGAGATTCCTGAGGCTCACTGGCTAACTAGTCTAGCCAAGTCTGTAAGACAAGGTGGATGGTACCTGAAAGACAGCTGAGGTTGCCTTCTGGCTTCTACCCTGTGAACATGTACAGTGTTTATTTGGGCATATAACATACATGCTGTGAGAGGGGGTTCAGGAGGTAGAGGTCAGGGCAGGCACACTACCCACTGAACATCAGCCCACTCTTTTTGTTTTGTTTTGTTTTATCTTGTTTTAATGAACACTACATCTTTATTGGAATGGGCAAGAACTCCCTACATTGGTGTAACCTACAGAACATAGAGGGTGGGGTCGGGAGCAGAGTGATACTTAGCCTGCTAGTGAGGCACTGAGCAGTCTTGGCAGCCCTAAGCTCTCTTTCTCGGGACTGGAAGCTGAAGGTTGGCTTCTGGATGCCGTTCTCATTGTCCTCTTGGGGGTTGCAGAGAGACCGTGGTCTGTGCTTGTCCCCACTCGCACCCCTATGTGTCTGTCAGATCAGAGGGCAGCTCTGCAGTACTGTCCCTCTGCCTGCTTGACACCCAGCTGCTGGCCAGCTCCTGGTTGGTTTTTTTTTTTTTTTTTTTTTAAAGAGGGAGGTGGTGGGGAGCAGCAGCTGTTGGAGGGCGTTTGCTGAGGTGACCTGGGACAGCTCTGTCACTTAGCCCCAAGGGATAAAATGAGATACTTTTCTACTGTTGATCCCTGCCTCTGGGTATGTTTGAAAGCTGACTAACCCCAGAGGAGAGAGAGAAAGAGGAGATGCTGCTTGTGGACTTGTCTTTGGTCTCCTAATGGAGCACCCCAGGAAGCCCCTGGGGTCTAGAAGAGTTGCCTAAGCTTGGAGTTCTGAGGGCACTGCTGCTGCCTTCTCTCTGGGGACAGTCAGCTTTCAAACCTCACCAGGGTGAGAGGTGTGCTGCTGGAAGGTGTCTCATTTCATTCCCTGGGGACACTGTTCACAGGGCTCTGTGGGGGGGGGGGGGGGGGGGGTGGGGGGGTTTTTGGGGGGGGGGGGCTCTTGCTGAGTTGGCCACTGCTGAACAAATTGGCATTCTTGAGTGTGAAGTGGGATTCTACTGTCTTTCCACTACAAGTCCCAGGAGGGGACAGCAAGGTCCAAGCACTGCCTCCTGTTCCCCTCCCCCTCCTTAGTCACTGGGTTAAGCCAAGGAAGCTGGAGTCTTCCTTCAGGGACACAGGAGGTGGAGGAGTCTGAAGCTCTGAGCAGTTGCCTTCATGACTCAAGGAGTCTTCAGGATAGTCTTGCAGCACTGCTGGCTGCTATCATTAGGGACCAAGAGTGCTCACTGAGAAAGAGCTCGTACAACACAGGCATGAGGACCTGAGGTTTAAATCCCCAGAATTCCTATGGAAAGCTGGGCTTAGCTACATGTGGCCATGATTCCAGGAGCTTGCTGGCTGCCAGCCTTGTCTCACATTCAGGGAGAAAGCCTTTGTTGGGGGACTAGGGAAAAGAAAATGAGAAAAATGAAGTAGAGCTGCATTACCCTAGAAAGTCCATTAGATGATGGTACCAGGGCCCTGCTATGCCAGTCCCCCTTCCATGTGCAGTAGGATAGCTGTTTGTAGAGTTAAGGTGACAGGTAGCAGCAGCTGAGTTTCAATGCCCTGAGAACCAGCCTGGGCACTGTACCATTGGTTTGGAGCTAGGCACTCACTGTGTTGAACAGGCTATTGGAACTACAGGCTTAGGTATGCTTCTTGTCTCTGCCTCAAGCTGTAGGGGCTGCCTTGCCACCTGTGGTCTTATTGGTCGGCCTTTCTTCTGATGTCCCTTCACAGGCCATTGAAGATGAAGGTGGGAATCCTGATGAAATTGAAGTCACCTCAGAAGGCAACAAGAAAATGCCTAAGAGGCCCAGCAAAGGTAAGGAGTCCCTGAACCACTCTGTCAATGCCATAGATATCCTGTGGGTGCAGAGCCTGCTGTCCCCTCTGTCACACAGGATCTAAGCATATAGTGGGAATGGATTGGGGGACATAGGGTCTTTCAGCTTCACATAGCCTGTCATTACCTCCTCATCTGCTAGAAAATAAGGCCCCTGTACTACCAGAGCACCACAGACACAGTTCACTTAAAACCATGCAGCGGCCTTCCCCATCTGACAGCCTCCATTCACCCACCTTTGCCCCACTTCTGTTCACGACTGCTTTCTCCAGCCGATGGGCACTTCCCTACCAGTCACCTACCTCATCTTGTCTGTCCTTGGCATTGACTTGTCATCTTTCTGAAACTCCAGTTTTTGGAACGTGACAAAATCAGAAGGGTTGAGGCTATCGGGGATGATATCTTGGTTGTTGTGAGGTTGAGCTGTTAGCTGATGATACAGATAAATGGTGGTGTGGCACAGTCAGTAGTAGCCATGCTACCCATGTGGACCTGTGCTGAAGGGAGGACCACTGAACTCTCTGGCCCAATGCACTGCTTTGGCCCACTGGTAGGAAATTATTGAGGCTGCTTGGGAGTGCCCCAGGGTTGGGTCTTCTGTTCTTATTGCTTTCTGCCTTAGTAAAAACAAATTCTTGTTCTGATGTTTTTTACTAGATGCATGAGTTTAAGTGCAGAGTTGACATTCCTTCCTAGTGGGAGCTGGCACAGTAGGGTGCACCTGCCTTCTTGTATGTTTGGTCACTAGGAAATAGATATATGAAGTGTATGTGCTTTCCTTAAAACCTGAAAATAGGGGGCTGGAGAAATGGCTCAGTGGTTAAGAGCACCAACTGCTCTTCCAAAGGTCCTGAGTTCAATTCCCAGCAACCACATGGTGGGTCACAACCATCTGTAATAGGGTCTGATGTCCTCTTCTGGTGTGTCTGAAGAAAGCAATGGTGTACTCATATACATAAATAGATCTTTAAAAAAAAAAACTTAAAAAAAGACATTGGTACTAGCATGGTGGTGTCTAGCATTTCCAAGGCTCTGGGGCTTGGCTCTAACACCACACCAAAATAAAAGGTTCACAGACGGTACAGACAGGGGTTGTCACAAATTTGAGGCTAGCTTAAAC